CTTGATTTTTCATTTGCTGCTTTTTTTCTTTGTGGCTGTGCTAACTTTGATCTTAAGCTAGCACAGCCATGGGTTTTAGCGAATCGGTTGGAGCAAAAAAATCGGGAATAGAGCAGAAAATTAGCAAAAAAATAGCAAAAAAATAGCAAAAAAATGTGGTATAGGTTGCGTTTGATTGTGCTGAAGTGGCTGTGCCAGCTTAATAGACGTTAAATGCATAGAAACATTTGCATAGAATCATTGAAATATTATATATGCAAATAGCACAGAAACATTGTATAAAGAACATTAAAATCTAATCTCTGAAATTAACATTTTTATTAACATTTACAAGAGAATCATTATTCTCTCTCGATCTTAATACCATTTCTTGAGAATTAAATTTATATAATATTCTAATTCCAGAATCACAAATCGCATTATTCGTCGGTGCACTAGACAGAAAACATGCTGCTCTACGTGCTCAGTGTATTCAGTGCAATATTTACATTGTGCTCAACTGGAGAATCTGAATTTCGTAAGCTTTTTTTAATAATTCTTTACTATATTCTTTTTAAGCAGATTATTACACGGTTAACCTAAATGTATATGTATAGCAATTGTTTTATTTACACAAATCGTTTATTGAATGTAAAAAATCACTATTGAATTGCAAAATAATATCAAACTATTGAGAAATTATTGTATATTTTTAACGTTCGTATTATAATAAAACAAGCAAAAAGATTATTTTTGCTGAAATATCTGAAAATTTTATAGTAATTATCCTTCTATATTCGTTAATCATTTTATTCTAAAAAATTCTTCCTCATTAGATGTTATTTTATATTGTTCTGTAAGTAAGTAATATATTTGTAAATTATAATTTTTATTTGTCAAATATCGTAAATTGTAAATATGCACATCATTATTTATTGTAATAAAGAAATAAAAGATTAAAAAAGTTTTTTTTTCATATTTTAACATAAACATCTGATAATACATATATATATATATATTTGATAAAAAGTAATTATATCCTAATTAATTATAAATTAAATATCTTTTTTTTAAATAATTTATTTATTTCTATATCTCTACTAATACTTCATTTCATTTTATTTGCACTTCTTAGCTTTAACCATATGCAAGCTGGATTCAGATGATTATTTGGCTTGTTTAAAACGAGTTGCGGAGGAGGCATGGCCACGATTTGTAGCAGGTATACTTTGTAACAATTTATAAGTCTTATTTTAACTTGTATATTTTATGGATATAAAATATGTTCGCTATTACACATAATTACATAACGACAATACAACAAAAGTTTGTATGACTGATCAACATTAAAATAGTGAACTGAATTATATATAAATTAAATAAATAAAGAAAAAGCCAATACGATCGATTCTAAATCTTGGCGCCTTATAATACCTATATATATCTATTATAAATACATTTTTAATTATTGTCTGACTTAAAGTGCAATTATAAATTGAAATAATCAAATATTGTAATTGAATTGATCGTCAATAATAATGCTAATGAATATCTTAATCCTCGACTTCAGCGGATCTTTTAAATCCGAGCGAAAATTATACAGATGCATGATATTATGGATTTTAAATTGTATATAAAAAATGATTTTCTCTTTCTAATACAATCTATCCATTTTTGTTTTTCAGTTTTTTTTGTAAAAATATGATTTTTAGAACAAAACAAACTCTTTTTCGTACTATTCCGTAGCTCGAGGTTACTAAAACTCTAAAACTCGAGGTAAAACTCTTGCTTATACGTTTTTAGATATAACTTTTAATGTTATTAATTTTTATCGAAAAATCTTTCGATTATAGCATTGGATTCTACATAGTTCAGCGTTTTGACTAAAAAAGAAATTACAATTCATTGAAATTTACAAAAAGATATACAACGTTTAGTTTATGATTGCGTTTCAAATCAAACAGTAAACGGCGCGCAATTTATACATATAACTAAAAGATATGTGTAATTAGAATTTACATATAAATTAGGCACAAAGAATAGCTGCGATCGTATTGGCCCTTCTTTTGCATATTTGATCTATTCATAGCTGCGATCTAAATTAAATTATTATTATTTGTATATATTGACCTTTCAATATGTTCTTTCGTTATACATGTATGTATACTAATTTACATAATTCATAAAATCTTATATTTAAAAAAATTAAAAAGAATAAAAATTTTTCTAATTAAATAACTTAAAAATACCAGATATCAGTATTAATTTATTTATCTCTTGACAGGACTTCCAGAATTTGATATTCCACCTTTGGATCCGTTATTTCAGAAATACATCAAAATTGAATTGGATTCAGATCATATACGTGGAGAATTAATTTTTTCAAATCTCACTATAACTGGTTTATCAAAAATTCGTGATTTAAATGTAAAACCGTATTTTCTTGATGACGTTTTCCACTTGGAAATTGACGCAAACATACCAAACATATCTTCAAAAGGTTTTATAAAAGTAAACGGTAATGTAAATGCATTCAGAATTGCTAATGAAGGTATGATAATAAATTCTATAATTATAATTTAAATAAACGGAGGAACATAATTTATACATTTTTTTAGTTTATTTTTATTTATAAAGATCATATCTTGAATTATGTTTTTCTTTCAAAAAAATTAGAAAATTTCACTATAATGTAATAATTAGCTATTTATTATAATTTTAACAGGTTCATAAATTTAACGACGTACATAGTATATAGAAATATGTATATATATAACATATATAAATTAATCTTTAATATCAAATTAATAATTATTGTTTTATAAATGCAATCTTAAAAAAACTAATTTTTTTAAATTATTACTATTTTATTAAAAAATTTTGTACTTTTATGGTTAAAATAATTTATGTAACAGGACATTATAATCTAACCATGGAAGACATCAGCGGAACTGCGAATTTTGCAGGACATGTAATAAACGATACATGGATTATAGAACATGTCCATTTTGTTCCGTCAATTGGAAAGTTTAAATTGTATTATGATGATGTGGTCAAAGAAAACAAAGCATTTAGTAAGTATTAAACTAATCCAGATGTAACTCCATTTATGTTATATTGTTCAGTAGGAATTAAATTATCTGAACGAAGACTCATATCTGATTTCCTATTTAACAATAAGTATATACATTTACATATTACATACAAAATTCTCATGCTATTTGATAAAAGTTTATCTAGAATAATTAATTAAATAGTAATAATCCGTAATTTGTACATAAATAGTGCGCCCATCAAGTAATGAGACTGATTTTTTCCTCATATTTATAGCAATACTGTTTATTACTGTAGCCTATTATCATTGACTATGTTTGTCCTTTTCCAACTCCAATTACAACTAATATTGCATTGTTCAAATTATAATAACGAGACAATCACTGATTTAAAAGAAGATAAAAGTTAGAAGTACATATTTTACAAATTCAAATCATATTTTTTCGCAATATTTTTAGTTACTGTTGCTATTTTTGCAAATATAAAATCTTACAACAAAATTAATTACAATTACATTTACATATGTGTAATCTTACATTTATCTTTCTAATTGGTTTTTTCTGAAAATCATACATTATCATTTTATATGTCAATTTTTATTTTCAGCTGATATCATCGTAAATTTTGTAAATGAATACTGGCCAACGTTTTATCAACCGGTAGTGTCATTGTTGTCCGATAAAATGGAAATGATTTTTATTGACTTGGTAAATAAGTTCTTCTCAAAAGTGCCATTCTCAAAAATATTTCCAAATTTTATATAAAATATATAAATATATAAAATTTATATATTTATTACATGTCAGTAGAGTACAAATATCTCATAAAATTTAAAAAACGAAGAATTTTAAACGCAAACATATATAGGTTATTTTTCTACAATTCTATATAAGTTAGCCTTTGTTTCTTAATTACTGTTTGTAAGCAAAATAAATATACAATACATGTTAAAATATTAATTGCAATGTAAAATTATTTTTCTTCTGGTTTTTGTATTTCTAGATACTATAATTAATTCTTAAGAATAATTAGTACCACATCTGCAATAAATGTTTCTTTTTAATTCGAAATAAAAGAAAATAGTTTCAAAAATGTTTATCATTTGCCTTTAACTCTTATAAATTATCGACAAAAAAATACTACACGTGTAGCGAGAAAATAATGAAGATAATCATTTTTTTTTGTCCAATTCATGTCTACATAATAAATGAGTCTATTGTCTTATTACGTAAGAATTAAATTCACAGTAAAATAATGAGTATATTTTTTCTTTCTTTTAAAGGTGGAACTTAACTAAATTTTAACAATAAAATTATATTAAAAAAAAAACTCAACAAATTTAATTCTATATATATATATTTATATATTAGTTACTCCTTTTTTTGGAATTTGTGGTTTTTCTGCATAAAAATAATAATTTATACAGAATTCTATAATAAATTATATAAATTTACTTTATCTTTAATATTAACAATACGGCACACAAATTAATTATTAAACAATAGTGTCTCTTTATGCACATATTGATACGCGAACACATTAACAACCGCAGATAAATAGTAAAGAAACATTTACATAAAAGAAAATTAAGATTCTGATATGAACTTTTTTACGTTTTATTTTTTGTATGTTTATAGCGTTATCTGATCTTACGATTCATATATGATACTGAAACTCTTAAGTAATATAAATTAAAATTATATATACACTAACACCTCATAATAGAGAGTGCGGTTCATCTGAACGACGTTGTGCATTTTTCGCTTCTAAACTATAAAATTCGGGACCATATTGAAGACAACGATATACACTGCTACCTCCACTCATACTATTTAAATGTATATGGAAGGGGTTTATATAATATTTCAAGATTCATTGTTACGAGATTTCAGTGGAACTCAGTTCGCAGAATCAATTGCATTATTCGCGGATATACTATACAAAGAAAATATTTTTCTATGTGTTTAGTGTATTCAACATTGCAATGTTTAGATTTTTAGATTATCCTCGGCAGAAAAAATTGAACTTCGTGAGTCTTTTTTAAAAGAAATCTTCAATACATATGTATATTTTAAAGAAATTATTATGGAATATTATGGTTATTGTACATTAACCTGAATATATCAATTGTTTTAGTCACATAAATCTCGTTCACTATACAAAATCACTATTATGGTAACATACACTGAAAAAAAAGATTGGCTGCTGCAGCAAATTAGATGGTAAAATATGGCATAGCATTTTTAATTGGCTGTATCAGTCAATTTTTGGTTGTGTTAGCCTATCGAAATCCTATACTGAATTCAAACATAAAATTATACTTTTAACTATATATACTTTAAAATATACAGGATGTTTCATAAATGCATGTCAATACTTTAGGAGGTAAATCTATACATTAAAATAAGTAAAAAACTCATATGAAAATATGTCCTACATACCTTAGCTTTCGAGTTATGAATGATTAAAGAGAATGTTCGAAATGCTCGCTTTGTGTGTCAACACATGTTACTGTACATTTTAGCACGTCGCGACGTTATTTAATGTTTACAAATAATATCCATCAATAGATCGGACAGAATTTCAAGCAGTCGGTATCTTATGTTCGCGAGTTACTGTTCTAAATACTGTTCTAAGGCTGGATTGTTACCACCTTTCGGTAAATTTCAATTTACTGTCTTATTCTCTTATTCTATCATACTCTTACTCTTTTATTCTTTTGTTTATCCAGTAAGTAAATTATCACATAGTTTATCTAAAGATGGAACAACCGGCCCCCTAAAAGCGGCAAAATGGTAATATACACTTATGCCGAAATGGCTGACATGCATTTGATGTATCTATGACCGTTCATACACGATGATGCTCCGTCTCATTTCCATCTTGAAGTGTGAACATTCCTAAACAATGCCTTCGCAAACCGATAGATAGGCGAGGCGGACCCATCCCATGGCCATCAAGATCTCCTCTGATCTCAGTCCATTAGATTTTTATTTTCGGGACAATTTAAAATCTATTGTGTTCAACGCCAATAAATAATGCGGATGATCTGCGAGAAAGGATACGAAATGGATTTGAGACTATTCGAAGAATACCTAGTATTTTTAAACAAGTGTTGGAGTCAATGCTAAAGCGTGAAGTAGCGTGTGTCGACGCACGAGGCGAATACTTACAACATTTTCTTTAATCATCCATAACTTAAAAACTAAGATATGTAGAACGTTCATACGACGTTCTTTACTTATTTTAGTGTATTATAGATTTATCTCTTAAAGTACTGATATGCAACTTTATGAAACATTTTGTATAACTAGCCAAGATTTTCGCTCAATACCTGAAGATTTTTATTATAATACTTTGGCGAAACGTTTTTGCTGGTTTAGCCGAAAATGAAAGATGATTCTGTCGACTCGAACTATGGTCGACCGCGGCGTTTCATCCTGGTCCCCACTACTGGACTTATCAGTAAGGCGATGTAGTGGGACCTGCTTTAGACGCCCAGGAAAATTTTAGATCGAGATCCCATTTAAAAGGAATTCATGGCTGTGGTGCTCACGAGAATTAGCGCGAGCCCCGTTAGACCTCTGGTGACGAGTCGCTACAACACTCCACTCCAATGGAGGCGCGATCGAACGGATTGCGTCGGAATGATAAGGATCAAGGACGAGCGCGGTGCTGTTGGTGCAGCTCTGTGGCGTGTGTTATTGTTCGTTGTTACTCGGATGCTACTCGATGATTGCTGCTCAATGCTGCTCGTGCTGTGAGCGTGTGTGAGCATATGCGAACGTGTGTGTGAGCGTGTGCATGTGTGAGCGTGTGCGAGTGTGTGAACGTCTTACAAACACATATGGATCCCTCCGAGACCGCATACGTATGTGTATAAGGATCAGAAGGTTAGATCAGAAGAGATGCGTGTGCGTGTTCAAATTACGTCGAAGTCACTATTTTGGCGAAACGTTTTTGCTGATTTAGTCGAAAATGAAAGATGATTCTGTCGACTCGAACTATGATCGATCGCGGCGTTTCGTCCTGGTTCCCACTACTGGACTCATCAGTAAGGCGATGGAATCATTTCATCCTTGTCGTTTATCAAATATTAAACGAGGACAAACGATGCTCGCGAGCGTTGCGAGCGTTAAGTGGAACGCAGCCGTAGTGGGACCTGCCTTAAACGCCTGGGAGAATTTTAGATCGAGATCCCATTTAAAAGGAAATCGTGTGGCTGTGGTGCTCACGAGAATCCGCGAGCTCCATTAGATCTCTGGTGGCGAGTCGCCACAATACTAATAATTATCTTTCTATTTGTTTTAATCGTGCTATTAAAAAATTTTTCTTTCTTATTAGACGTTTAGTTTATATTAACGATTTTTTGTAAAAAGGTAATATTCACATTTTTATATTTACGAGTTATTTACAATTTTAATTTTGTCTCTTCTCAACATAAACATTTAATAACATATACGTACTTGATGAAAAAGTAATGACATCCTAAATTATTCTAAATTAAATATTTTTGTTAAAACAATTTATTTCTATATTTTTACTATTACTTCATTTCATTCTATTTCTACTTAGCTCCAATTACATGCAAACGAAATTTAAATGATTACTACACTTGTTTAAAACAAAATTTAGAAGAAGCATGGCAACTAATTGTAAAGGTACAATTTTTTAAAAATTATAAATTTTTATTGTTGTAATTTATATAGGTTGTATGTATTGTATAAATAATTTATATGTATATAAAACAACATAAACTTATATTAAAATAAGATAAATTAAAACATTTAAATTTTAATTGAAACAAGTAAAAATGATTCAAGATAAAGTCTTTAATCACAAAAATTATTTTAAATTATATGGATACTATCTCCCTCTCTCTCTCTCTCTCTCTCTTCCTCACTCTAATTAATCAATTTATCTTGGTAGGACTTTCAGAATTTGATATTCCATCTTTGGATTCATAAATATGGTAAATTTGAATTCAATTTTGATGAAATACAAGTAGAAGTAATTTTTTCAAATCTCACTATCATCGGTTTATCAAAGTTACGTTTTCTTGATGTGAGACCACACTTTCTTAATGACGTATTCCGTTTGGAAATAATGCATTAGTACCGCGTATGTCTCTAGAAAGTGACGTGAAAATAAATGGTACTGTAAATGCATTTATCAGAGCTGCTCATGGTAAAGATATGATAATAATTTCTATTCATTCGGCATAAACAATATGTCATATATTTTATTGGTCATTTCCCAATTACGACAATAAGATAAATATATGTGTGTATTACATCTATATATTTTCTCTAAAAACATTAACAAAATTTATTTTAATTTTATCCCATTATTAAAATAATTATGATTATTAAAGAAAATTCAATTTAAGTAATTGCAAGACTTTCAGAAAATTTAAATAATTACAATTACTTAAATAGATTTTCCTAATAATTATAAATTTATGTATGTGTGTATGTGTGTGTGTTGTATACACATTTATAAATTTATATGTTATTATTAACTTTCTATTTGCATCGTGGATCTTTCAAAAGGAACAATCAAAATTTCAGGTAGCTGTAGATTACGATAGATTAGAGAGGAAGTACAGACCTACGGTGCAGACCGCGTTAACTAAAATTGTAAAAAACACAGAACAATGTTGAAGAAATTGAACGACTTTTACGATCACAAGAAACCGAAATATTTTATGACGAAGCTTCGGATAGTAAGGCAGACTTTGAAGATGTCCTGAGCAACGTAGACGATGCACAAAATACCGATAAAGATGATTCCTTTGAATATTCTCTCCATCAAAAAATTTTTTTTATAAATTATAAAATTTCTTTGTACTAACATTATCTATTTCATATTTTTGTAATGTAAAATGAATAATTTTCCGACAAAAAATTGAATTTATAGATTATCGCTCGTCATTCGTTAAAAAGTTATTAACAGTTAAAGTTAGTAATTATTTCACTGCTTTACATGAAAAGTCAGACAACTTTGGGCAGAGAGGTATGGGGTGTACTGATTACGGGAATATGTTTCTTTCCACCCCCCCCCCCCACCGCCCCCCACCCCCCCCGCCCCCCCCCCCCCACGACTCTCATCCCCCCTCACCTCCTGCAAAGGGGCGCCCGACTTCTATAATTGTACTATTTGCAGGGAGGAAATGAAGATTAGAGCCGAAGATGAGAGATGTATAATTTTCAAGATGTATAATTGTATTATTCCACATAGATTTTTAAATTCCACTAAATACTTTATTCAACATTATTATTAATAGGATACATTTCACTCATAATCTCAAAAAATGCCTCAATTCTTCTCTCAAAAGAATACATTCTTTTAAACAAAAATTCAGCAAGATAATATTTATAATGTTTCTCTATTATTCCATAACGAGGAATTGCACTACGCATATCACGCCATATCCTTTCAATGTTTTGTGTATAACATCCACTTATGGATCAACAAAAGGAGTGCTAAATTCCTTATAAAATTGACTTAGTAAATGCAAAAGATATGTGGATATTTTTCTCTCTGATATTCTATAATTTATAATATTAAATTAAGAACGTAATAAAATTCAATAAATTATATATTTATATAATCTATATAATTCGTTTATATCTTATTTATATTATACAAAAATTTTATGTTTTAAATATAATAGAATATATGTAAAAATCTGTAGCTTAATATTTAAGAATAATTAATTAATATATATCTTCAAAAACTTTAAATTCTTTAGCTTTTAATTTTTTTATTTCTCACACTGAAAAAAAGATTGGCTGCTGCATCAAATTAGATGGTAAAATATGGGATAGCATTTTTAATTGGTTGCAGCAGTCAATTCTTGGTTGTGTTAGATCCTATACTGACTATCGAAATCCTATACTGACATTGCGGATTGACTAGCACAACCACAAATTGGCTGCTGCAGCCAATTAAAAATGCTATGCCATATTTTACCATCTAATTTGTTGCAGCAGCCAATCTTTTTTTTTCAGTGCAATACATTATGTTTTTATTTCTTCCTATATTACAAATCGCAGAAAAATGACAACAATGAACTTCGATACACTCGATTATCAATTTAACAAGCCTGTTTTTACAATTAGAAAAAGCATGACATTTCAAGTTTCAAATGTTTCATCATAATTTATTTTTAATTCTTATATTGTACATCGTCGATTAAAGATTATTATACGTGAGAGAATTTATATAAAATTAATCATAGTCTGTTCATCTCATGCATATATAATTGTTCTCCTTACGCAAGAGTTAGACTCAAGTATAAGTTAAATTTTTTAAAGTTAACCGATTAAATAGTAAAAAATTAGTTCTTTAGTACTTAAAAATTCTAAAATTTAATGCAATTTTTATTGGTTAATGGGTAGTTGTACCGACTTTTATCTAATTGTCTAGTAATTGAACAATGAAACTCTTCAGGATACCAATCCAGATATAACGTTTTTCTCGCAGTTATTGCACAGTAAAGAAGTACAAAATCTGAAGTTAGTTATTGAGCAGTAAAAAGATAAATATAATAAATAGATAAAAAAGCTATGTGTAATATTAATATAAATTATATACACGAGTAATGCTCTTTGCACAATGCGAGGGAATAGTACATACAAATAGAAATAATATAAGAATAACCTATCAGAAACCATATATACTAGAATACACGGCTTCTGATATGTTATTCCTATGTTATTTCTATCGCTATCGCTATTCTCTCGAATTGCCAAAGAGCAATAAATATTTAATAAAAAGCATAGGCAATAATAACAGGGAATAAGGTACAGATACAGGCAATAGATTTCAATTAGAAACGGCTGTGCATATAGTTTTTTATACTTGAAATCCATTAATTGCCTGTATGTTTATTCCTTATTCTCTAATCTCTCTGAAACTCTTTGTGACAGAATTACGTGTTCTATAAACTGTATAAATTCTTTAAGTTTCTTTTTCTTCTCATATTTTTGTACGCGTTCACGCCTTTCACACATTTTTAACTATATAACTTTGCAAGTAACATAAAAAAAAGTATATACTTTACAAAGCGAGATGTAATTACATTATTATATTACACGTGAGCATTGCGTAATTTAATTGATAAAAAATGGACAATTACTTTTTTAATATTGATACAAAGAATTGACCCACATATTGGAGAGTAAAATTGCTTTAACTGTAATATTGCTCAGTTATTAAGCAGTATTTTTGTATCATAAAGAGAGTACGTAATATTAAATATTTAATACGAGAAAGTGCGGATAATATAGGATACCGGATACTTTCCGGATATCCGGTGCATCTCTAATTTCTATCATGGAATAGTTACGTAGAGTTACATAAGCTAAAAATTTTTATTTTTTCTCATACAGAGTGTTTCATTTTAATTGATACAACCGGTTGTCTTGAAAATAAAGTATTTTCAGGAAAAAAATATTTTATATGACAGAAGATGTAAAGTTTTAAGTAGCGAATTTTACATCAAAATTAGTATGACCTTGAATAGCATTATTAAGATCACGTAAAAATCATACAATTTTTAAATAAAAACTCCTAATTTTGATTGCATATTTTTGTAGCTGACTTCGAAAGCTTTTCGAAGCACTATAATAAAGTGATATTTCATTAAGTACTTTTCGAGTTATGAAACTTGAAAGTTACATTACGACATTGGATGCGTTCCGAGTTACACATGAAGCGCATAATGCATCGTTTGTCTTTGTTGTTCATCAAATAATAAAGAAGGATAAAACATCATGCGTTTCATGCATAACTCGGAAGCACCTATTATCAAGGTCTTTACACTATCTTGTACTATGTACTAGATTGCGTAAAGTTTCTATTATTAAATCTCATTAAAATTTTATATGAAACATAAGAACATAAATAAAAATTATTATAAACTAAATACAAAAACATAATTTTTATATTGATTGAAAAATTAGAATTAAATGCTAACATGAAAATGATATTTAAATTATAAAAATAAAATGAGATAATATCAATATATTAGTGAATGTTGAATAATGGAAGTAAGTGCGGAGAGGAAAGGGAACGAAGCTAGAGGGAGAACATATCTAAGAGTCAAGTAGAGAAGCAAGAATTGAGGAATTATTTGAGCTCGTGGGTTCGTACGACAAACGTAGTTTAGTCTCCGAAAATCTTAACGAGTTCTACGTCAAAATACACTGTGCAATAAACTCTGACCAAATAATGATTTTTAAAGGATAAAACAAAAACGTGCAAAATCTTTCTGGACAACAGCCTTGAAAATTTGATATATTAGATGTGGAACAGTGCCCATCTGGACATTTAAAGATCAGAACAAAAGATCTGGGAGCGAAGTCTAAACGCGATCTTTGGTGCTTGGGACTTGCCGACTTTGTGAAGACTTGCCAACATTGAAGAAACTCACTGGAATTAGTAGAACTTGCCGGCATTAGAGAAACTCACTCTCAACATCTAGACTACGACAGAGATACAGTTAAAGGTAGCAGTTGCAAGAGCATTGGATTTTTTTCTTTCCTTTGCGTTCTTGCTCCAAAAATTACACAGTTATTAGTTATAAATAATAAATGTGTCGTAAAATCTATACAAGTCTTACGTTGTACATACGGACATTTTAATAATATGAGTCAAATTTTAAATGCGGCCTCTTCTCCAAATTAAATTTCTTTAATATCGATTCATTTAATTGCCGCTTTCTTCGATCGAATTTACCCAAATTAAGTCTCAATTTTAATTATAAAACTTATGTAAATTTAATTACATTTATATTTTGTGCGTCTTGGTTTTTGAGATTTGCGATTTTCCTTCATAAAAGGATAATATTATAATTTAATAAATATATATCTATAGAGAGTTACATTGAAATCTTGTAATAGTGAACCTCGAAATGGCACATAAAATCTTACCATATACGCTAAACATGTAAGTATAGTATAAATGGAGGTAGCAATAAAACCGCGGCCATCAATATGGTCCCAAATTTCGTAGTTCGGAAGTGAAATAGGCACTTTGTTCAAACGAACCGCACTCTATTACGAGGTTCTAGTGTGTATAAAATTTTTTTGTATCAACATAACGGCGCAATAATTAAATTAACAATTTCATCATGCATGTACAATATACGTACAAAGATTCTTATTGACATCTATTTACACTTTACACAAACAAATTAATCATTAAACAGTTATTTACCTTATCATGCTAACAAAAATATTTTAAAAAATATATAGTTCATTATATAAATAGCATGTAAAATAATATTTATGTGTAAGTCTCTTGAGATGTATTTTTCAAGATTTTTCATGCTAATATTATTCCACAAATTATATTTTTGATGTCTCTCTAGTTAGTGATATTTTTATTTAAAAACAAAGTAATAAGAACAATTAAGAGATAGCATGATAAACAAATGTGAAAATTTTAAAAGGACAATATGCAGTTTAATATATATAATTACATATTTGTATAAATCTCAGTAGCTTTTATTTTTTAATCATCCCCCCCCTCTGCCACAATAATTTAAATGGATACATTAATCAATATTTTTAAAACGTACATGTCGTTAAAACGTCAGGTAAGTATTATAAATAACTAGGTCTTCAACTCGAAGAAAAATATCCAAACCAATTGAACGGCTGGAAAGGCAATTATCCATCTAAATAAAAAATACTGATTATATACTTCTTTTGATGTGCTGTATGTTTTTGCGTTATTCTTATACGTTCAAGATGCGTTTCATAATCATCATTCTAATTGGTCAACAAAGTTGCTTACTCATTTAGTGCTTCGACAAGATGCTTATTTTAAAAATATTGATCAATGTGTCCGCTCAAAATTGTTGCTAAAGATAGCTCAAATGTGAGCCAAAACGTACTGAGTTTTATACTAATTATGTAATTATATCCAATGAATTATTTCGTCTTCTAAAAATTTTTTGCGCATTATTTACTGTACGAAATTGCCTTTCTTATATAATACTTGTTATTTTGTATTTATATAATATTTTCGAGTGTCTCTATTTTTATCTTATATTTATTAAAGTTTATTTCCTATACAAATTACTTACACTTAAATATATAATGTATATATAATATGCATATAATATATATATATATATATATAGTATGCATTCACTATTTAAAAAGCTATAAAAAATAATTTATTCTATGATCAGAAATAGAAATATCAAACAGCTTAGACATTTGATTAATTTATATATCTGCGCCCATTAACGTTACATTCTATTGCTTCAGAAACCTTGAGAACTGAAGACTCATCGTGTACAATCAAACGGCTCGTTGAAATACTGAACGATCAACATGTTTTTCTATACACTTAATGTATTCAGTATTATACTATTTGGATTAGCATCAGCTGCGAAACTTACTTTTCGTAAGTCTTATTTAATTCTTTTTTATTTTTTTTCTAACTGAATGCCATGGATCATTATAAAATCCGGTAAAAAAGAATGTCAAATTGCTTAATCGCGTTTTTCTTATTTTAAGTCAAAAATGCCAAACAACATGATTGCGTGATTTCCTTAACGTTCATAACAGTAGTTACCATTAATTATATAACTGATGTAGCATGCCTACGTTAATTAATTTCAATATAATAAATTACTTTTTCAAGTACAATAACGATAATGCATTGTAGAATACTATTTATTGAATCTATGATGTGAGCAATTTATCTACTGCATTCTACTGCACAGTACTTAAACAGTTAATAATATTATCAAACTACATCATTTAGAAACAAAAAAATGAAAAAATATTTTTATGTATTCTCTTTATTATAAACATAATTGAAATGTGTTTAACAACTTATACATGTATACATGAATACATGTCAAAAAGATAGATACTTTTTAAATCTTACTTTGAATTATATTTTATATATTAAAACAATTTATGAATTTTTTTATAATTTTACTACTAATTCATTTTATTCTATTTGCTACTTCTATTCAGCTGCAACCATTTGCAAACGAGATTCAGTTGATTATTCCGCTTGTTTAAAACAAGCTTTAGAAGAAGCATTTCCACGGTTTGTCAAAGGTATCTTTATTAAAAATTTATAGTTCTGATATTTTAACTTATACATATCTTTTAAATAAAATATATTTGTTTATTTATATTTACAATTACTCTACTGAAATATGAACAGAATATTACGAAGAATATTATCAACATTAACAGTAAACAAAATGTCATAAATCTATAAATTTATGAACTGTAATTTCACTTTATTTAAAGCAGATTAAAAAAGATTAAAAATTCTTTGATCTATTTGCTTAAAAATGTGAATATAACGGTTTATTCATTTTGTAGGACTTCCAGAATTTGACTTTCCACCACTAGATCCATTAGTTTACGAGTACGGCAAAGCCGTATTTAATTCAGGGGAAATACGTGCAGAAGTTGTTTTGACAAATAATATTGTAACCGGTCTGGCGAAGGTTCAAGTTCATGACGTGAGAACACACTTTCTTGATGACGTTTTCCGTTTAGAAATTGACGCTAACGTACCGAAAATATTCCTAAAGGGTAACGTGAAAATGAACGGTACTATAGGTATATTCAAAATTGTTAATGAAGGTACGATAATAAGTTCTACACAGGCTGCATGATAAAGCTACATCATTTATTTTGTTGAACATAACATTTATAATTAGTCGTATTCGTATAATGCTTAAAATTCTTTAAACAAAGAATTATGACAATTTGCTTTGTTATAATCTCATTATTAATCAATTAAAATAATAATAATTTAATTCGTAAATTAAGCAGTATACATATACATATAAAAATATACATAGGTACACTTTAATACCGTTTGACAGAACTGGTGTGCACTTAGCACACACTAAAGCCGTTGTACACTAATCTGAATGTAAAAATGAGATCTCAATTGATAATATACATTTTATCAATATAATAAAATGTATTGAAGGTTTTGCGGTTTAACCCGTTTCTATATTTTTATTAAACATACATATCTTTACATCGATTTATTAACAACGGCTTTAAAGTGCACCGAGTGCACATCAGTTCTGCCAATGAAAACTGCTATAAGTCTAAGAATCTAAATAGAATTTAAATTCTGTCCCTATAAAATAATAATTATAAGTAACAATAATAACAATTGCTGTTAAATATTAAGGGGTATTAAGTATTGTACTTAAATATTATATTTCTTTAATTTAATTGTTCTTAAAAAATAGTAAAAATTGCCAGAGGGGGGGTTTGCAGCAATAATCCGCAAACCCTCTGGTATCATTAAAGTAAATATCCGTGTAAGCCTCGAAAGCATTAAATAATTTTTACAACTACCGTTATCTTATTCAAAAATATTAACCCTTAATATACATGATAATTATATAATATATTTTTTATATCATTGTGTTATAATTTATGTAGGTCCCTATAATTTGACTGCTGATGATGTCATAGGAACATGGGATATGACAGGACCTGTAGTAAATGATACATTCATTGTAAAACATATCCATGTACTTCCATCAGTTAAAAAACTTAAACTATATTTTGATTTATTCCAAGACAATAAAGAGATTAGTGAGTATTAAATTAAGTTAGATGTAACTATTCTTTTACTATTTTATCTAATATGAGTATATTAAATTATATTATAGAAGAAGCGCTTAATTATTAGTATATAAACATAAATCTTGTTAATTCGATAAAAGTTTGTTTAGAATAATTAAGAAAAATTGATAATAATAAGTAATTAGTATATATATATTTTATAAAAATAATTTGATATGTATACCATGAAATTAAACATTTTTTATGTTAAAAACTTACTTTTAAAAAAATTTCTTCGGAAATCTTGTAAATATAGACGAAGTATTAGAAAACTTTTCGCGGTGTAATATATTAATTACAAATTATATAATAATGCAGTTATTAAGCTAATCATTGATTCCAAAGAAAATAAAAAGGTAGAAATATATTATTTACAAATTAATTAAATAATATTGTTATATATCAATTTTTAATTTCAGATGATGTTGCCGTAAGTTTTGTAAATGAATTTTGGCCACCATTATTTCGAGTAATGTTACCAATAACGTCTGAAGCATGGGATCCATGGTTGACTAGTATTGTTAATAAGTTATTCTCAAAAGTTTCCTTCTCAAAAGTATTTCCATAAAATTCATATATTTACTAAACATTAAGAAATATAAACAGGTAATAAAAAATTATAGTATCATATAATAGATAACCTCAATTTATATCACTAAAAAATTATTTAAGTTCTTTAAGCCTAAGCTTTATAAAGTGAAAAGAATGAAGAAATAGGGAGAAGAGTCTGTTTTATTAATCAATATGCAACATTAATTTTCTAGATTTCTTTTATAATATTTTCTTTTATACGTTTTAATTACAATTTTGCCAAATTTTTTCTTTAATTCCGAAATAAATTCTTTCTGCAAATAAAAATTAACAATATTGAATTTCAATTTTTGCAAAGAATGCTGCATCCAATGACGTATAGTCATATTCATATGATTGCGTTATTTTTTCATTGCAATTAATTGGTTAGAAATAGAGACATTGCAATGAAACTTTGCTCATTCAATTTACGATCAAAATTCATTGATTAATGAAACATATACGAATGTAGAAGAGCATTCAATTTATAACCTCAGTAGAGAATAAAAATCCTTTTTGGACATATAGCTCCTCATTTCGTACGCATAAATTGGTATTTATAACACTATATTTGTATCTCCAGAAGAAGTTTAGTAGAATAAAAAATGTATATGTATATGCTGGAAGAATAGAATAGAATACGACAAATCTAAGAAAGAAACTGAGAGGCACGGAATTTGTCGCGAACAGAAGTCAAGAAGAGAAAGTTAAAATACGCGCCAAGAATGCGAAAAGTTGCCAAACTTTCGCATCAGAGAATTCTTTCCAGGCCTCTCAAAATATCCGTAATAAAACTATAAACTTTTAGGAAGGACCACGCCGTACCTTCGTTGTATGACTGCTTACTCTGAGTACCTCAGCGTACAACGACCGAACTAAATTTCGCTTTTTTCGAATACTGATAACTGAATCTATGATCTAATTGGCAAGTTTCTGCAGCTTTTTTTACGAATTGATGACTAACTGATTTAATCACTGAATGAATTTGTCAATATCACGAAAGATATCTTACTTTTGAAATGTTACATACTCGTATATGCAATAGTTGAAAGGAATAAATCAATATATATACGATTTATTTGTAGCGCAGTAATTACAAGTCTATTATTTGCACGAATTCAATAACGTTCACAGACTATAATTTAATCAAGAAATTAAATTCTATTCATTAGATTGAATGAGAACATAGTTATGAACAATATTTAGTGTAATTTTGTAATCCTGTAATGTTGAAATTTTATTTGCAAATTTTCGAAAACAGCGACATTTTTAAATATTTTATATATTTTAATTAAAATATAAAATTATTCTGTATTAAATTATCAAAGCTTTAATTGATCTAACATTTTTAAGTATTTTTAAATACTTTATACTACATGTAAAACAGCTATGATAAAAATAGAAATATAATATAAAAATATAATGTAAACATGATACAAAAATTTCAACAATATAAATAAAATTTACAAAAGATAATTGTTAAAACGTCAGCGTCCGTCGATTCCGTTCTAAATACTGACAATAAAATTAACATTTTTCTGTTAATAAGAACGTTCTGTGTGCAGCTGCTGAAGCAGATTTGCATGCGGATAGTAATTACTTTTTTAAGCGCAATTTAGGTACATGGTAATTATTCAATTTTATAACATAGTCAAAGTAACTCGATTACGCTCCCAAAAGTGTATTTCGCGATTTTATTATTTGTACCTTTATTTAGTTACCACGTCAGTTTAGTTATATGCGCATGAGACTTGTATACATTTATAAGAATATGGTGTAACATCTTGGACCCTTATTTTAAATTTTGAAATTATCTAACAGTTTTTAAATAAAAAGAAACATTTAAAGCTAAATAAAAATTTAATTGTTTAAAATTCTCGTGCTTCGATTTTATATATAATATAATATAGCACTTAAAAAAGTGATCTTACAGTTATAGCAAAAATTACCTAAGTACGAAAAATAGCTAAAATAGATAAATTTCTAGCAAGTACTGCAATATTGGACATGTATTGCATCTAATCATATAGATGACAGAGATAGAATTTAAATTTGTGCTATAAATTCTATGCGTATGATACATAATTTTCTATTAGATACAAAAGTAGCTATAATTCTAATTGAAGCAGCAAAATATTTTTTTGCGTGAGATATAATGATTGATACATATAATATAGTTTATATATAATATATATAATGTAGGGAAGAGTTGCCGAATGCGTACTGGTCGCCTAAATCGTACCTCATCAATATTTTATATTATTAGTTAATATAGGCAATATTTAGTAACAATAAATAAAATATATGAAAAATAAGTAATATAGACAAAAATATACCTACATTTTGTTTTATGGATGTTAGCAGCATTTTAAAAACTCAGGCACATCTGATATTAATTTTTAATCAACTTATTTAACTGATAACAACGCGATCATCCAATTTTATTATAAATTTTTATATTTTTATAAAAGAAGATTTATTGTAGAATATTTTACATTCACTGTATATACATATTTACAACCATTGTAAAAATTAAAACGATATTTTTACAAAATTCATCAAGTATCCTAAATCGTACCATCAAAAGATAAGGCTGATAACTGACAATAATAAAACTAATAATTGATATCAATATAAATATTAAGTGCAAAAATATATATAAGTAAATTTTTTTTGGTGTCATTTGTTTTTTTCATTATTGTTATTTAATAATTATAAAATATTTGATTTTCTTCAATAAATTATTAAAATTAGGTATTAATTAATTATTAGTTATTAGTTAATGATTTCTTTTATTAATCTTATATTTTTATTGTTTTCATTCATAAATTCAATACTTTCGAAGGAAATACGATAAAAAATACCTATAGGTACGATTTAGGCGACAGGTTGCCTAAAACGAACTTTTTGCAGCATGTTACAAAAAGATTTGTAACAAATTAATTTGTTATTGGTGAAAAGTTAAACATGGAATAATAAGCGTTCAAAACCTCAAGCTATAATTTCTAATGTTCATTTGCATACAAAACAGTGCCAAATGAAAAATATAATAAAAAATAGATTAAGTGGTAGGCATTCGGTAACTTTCCTCTAATGTATATTATAATACTCTATATAAATGTAAAAACATAAATATAAATCGTAGTATGTATATCTTTTTATCTAATATAATTGTATATAATGTATGTATCAATACTAATAATTTACCTTTATAATATATCTAAATCACAGTCAAGATAATTATAACAATAAAATAAAAGAATAATTTCTTATTCAATAATGAATAAATCACTATTATATTATTCAAAACAGCTTACAATTAAAATGCTTGTTCTAAATTAAAATATACATTAATTAAAATTTTCAATATATTTGTCGTTTCTAACATTTAAAGCGGAATAATTGTACGTTCAAATCTATGAGTATAATAATACATATTTGAGAGAAAACTTGACGCACAAACATAAAATGCAAAGTTATCAAGTCGTTTTAAAATCTACTTACGCATGCACACGCATGTTTATCAAAAGTTATAAATTTTTGGTTGTGTGTGTAGAAGTTTGGACGTTACCATAAATTTTTACGTGCAATCTCGCGACTTTGAACTTTATAGATTTGAAATGCAGCTTTAGTAGAAATCATATAACGCCTTCAGTTCATGTATAGAAACCGGTATATACACGAAGTTATAAATTTTCGCACAAATGGCAACCCACAGCCATCAATCTTTGGGAGGGACTGAGTAATTTCAAATTTTAAGGTTCTCAAAGTAACTTGCCGTCAACAAAAGCTCCTGCAATTCGATTCGTCAGTCCGGAAGTATATAGCTTCACTAAATTACGAATCATTACTATCGATCATTTAGAATAAAAATTATAAGAAATTAAATGATTATGTAAATGTTCTGCAAATATCTTGTTCATGCAAATTCGACGGCACGACAATTCTGGCTTATATTATATCACTTTCGACAAGCGGAGCTCAGATTGACAAAACCGATATTTTGCCGTGATGGAAACCGTCAAGTTCTGCCACGCAACTGAATAAATCACAAATACATTACCTATGGAGACCTGCGTTAATACCCGCTACGCGTGACGAGGTGCAATTAATCCGCGATAAGTGCAATTAATTTAGAGTGATTTTCTCCACACGGTAACCGCACCGAATTAAATCTGGCGCGATTCATCACACTGACAGGACAAAAAATAAAAAGATAAAAATATGAAGAGGTCGGGCGAAAGGCGGGAGAGAAGACTCCGTACTTCCCTTCATCGGGCGAGGCAAACCAGAATGCAGAGGTGCGCACGTGGACGGAAACATCGATCGTATGTCGGCCGGCGAAGTCGGTAGACGCGTGAATCTCAATTTGCCGGCTGGTCCCCGTGGACACGTGCCTCTACGTGTATTTGCCGAACATTTACATAAGGTACGCGATAACACGCCGATGCGTTCCTTCCTGTGACGAGAGAGACATAGAATCTTATCCACTTTTCAAGAGATTAACTCTGTATAATTCTAAACAAGCGATTTGTATCTAGATTTATGCCTCGCTCTTCAACTAGTGACGTATAACTTTAGCAATAATAAATTTAGCAATAATCCAATTAAATTTGACAAAGAAATATTTATTACTAATATTTTATGAAATTTTTTTTTTTGCTAAGGGAAAAGTGTTTGGCATTTGTGACTATAATTGCAAGAAAAATAATTATGGTTAGGAGCTCCATTTTTATGTTTATTATTGCTATAATATTAATAATAACATTATGTATACAGTTCTCTCAAACATGAAAAAATTGTACCATAAATTATGCTAATTTCCAATATTAATATAATAACATCAAGATATAAATGGTAAATAAAATATACATTTGTATTCAATAAATGCAATTGTAGTAAATATAACTATTTCCTTAAATTTACATATTATTTATATTTATGTGGTAATAATAACTTTATTAATATGTTAAGAAAAAATCGAGGAAAAAACTAAAAGTTTTCAATCAATGTGTGTGAATTATTATTAATATTATATGTATAGC